TAGCCTCAAAATTTTGAGGTGATCAGACAGGCTGGAAAACCTCATTCTTCGTTTTTTCCATATTTCTCGGTTGTCTGAACGCGGCCCATGTAACAATTATTTTCCGCAGGACAGGACCCATCGGGGCAGCGATTTCGAAAAATACGCTGGACTACGATCGCTGAACATCTGTTGAAAAAAGGCCTCGATGGCAAACGAGTGTTCCTCAGTGCTCCAACGCATATCGAGACTCTCAAATGAGACCATTCCCGCTCTCCTAGACTCCAGCAGCCTAAATGGTGCGATTTTGAAAAAAAGGAAGTTATTTCACCGATCCTGTGAGAGTATATACCATTTATAAAGGGGCAGACAGTAAGCAAGAGGGGTGTCAAGTGCAGCATGGGTAATGAGTCCTCTCTATGGCGAACAAAGAAACTTATATCATTCTCCTTTTCTGGATTGTATTCTCTTGCATGGTGCTCGAGTACAAGTGGTATATCTCCTTCTCAAATGAAAGCCGTCCTCCTGCGCTAAAAACTCATCCTTGATTAATCAAAACGGTTGAAATTGTAGTGCTGCTAGTAGAATTCGCTTTACAAAAATGAGATAGTTTACTCCACACATCTGCAGTAACGCAAAGGCATTTGAATGTTGCGCTCAAAATCGTTTGTCCTTTCAGCTACTTTTCCTCTCGATAAACGTGTTTTCAAAAGGCTTGGGCATATATTCTTCTAATAAAATGACGGGCTGGTTGACTGGATATAAAGCACAATATTTCTCATCAAGGTAATGATGAAATGCGACAGCAATTTGTAATTTGATTCTGTTACCAAAAAACATTCCTCAATGATTTATTGCATCTTTTTCAACCATTATTAGAATGCCTGCCACTATTGGAGCAGATAGAGGCAGTGATGAAATGGTTACTGCAACCGCTCCGCTTTCAAGGCTGCAATGTTTTTTAGGAAGGGTTTTCTATTTGAGATCCATTAACAAGTTTGGATTCTTGCATTTGATTTAAGAAATTCACTAGCATTTCTAATGAGAGACAACGATAATGTACTGAAGAAGGTTGTTAAGTTCTCATCCCAAACGCAGGCTCATTTCTGCTCCAAAACTGGCAAGGAGCTACAGATAACATGACTGATAGTTTTAGCAACTGTCATAGTAACCAGCATTGTTTGGTGAAGGCCTGTGACGTCTCTCCAGCTGTTCTTATTCCAATACATAGATAGTTTTGCTTAGCGTTTTAGTCGAAACACCCTCGACTTCTGGTAAAAGCAAAAATTCCTTTGCAAATCAGATGCGATACAAATTGTAGGTTTGGCATATGAATGTCTTCAGAAGGCCACAAACATTGCCGTTCTCCAGATTATCACAAGTGCAATGCACCAAATAGTCTATTGGCAGACAGCTCCCTCGCTCTACCACTCAAGGGTGGAAACAGTCAAAAGTATTTCGCAAATTCCTTTACAATCATTGGAGCAGCGCATCTAGCAGGTGACTTAAAGAATGACTTTAGCAGCAGAATAATATTCTATTTGAAATACTTGAATAAGAAGAGAATGAAATGATTATCAGATGAAGAGCAGACTATAAACACCACAAATTAGGATTAGAATAGGCAGCAGAATGAACAAACAGAACATCACAGCTAACAAATACCAACAATTCATTCTTTGAAAAGATTTAAAATCCATTTTTGTGATTTCATGAAAGCGCTCTGCGTATGCAACTGCATCATATACATCACAACCGACGTCAGAATTTAGGCGCGTGATGATGTTTTCATTAACTTTAAAACACTTGTTTATTTGCTTATGTATGTTCTTTTCCTTTTAATAAATTCTTCTTATAATTTTATAACTATGGTTTTGAATTTCTTCTTGTACTACTAACACCTTAGAGCTCTAGCGAACTACTTCTTTCTCATTTTTGAAGCTTCTCTTTTAATGTTTAGCTCTTCGGTTATGGCTAATGCATCTTTTTTAAGCGAACTGTTTAGTTGGAAAGCACTCCGAGTCAACTATAATGCCCAAAAAGTTTGCCAACGAAAATCCGAAGGTTGTAGCTGCGCGAGAACGGAAAGCCGCTGCGAAGAAAGACGAACAGGAGAAAAAACAAAAGGTTTTCTCGTCTGCGTACGTTTGAGACAAGCTGACTGAAGCTCTTCAGTGTTTAGGCTGCTGAAGATGCATACTGGGCGGATGACGACAAATTGGTGAATAGAAAGCAGCAACGTAAGGTTCGTGCAAGTCTGAATAGTCATTTTACTTTCTACAAATTTCAATTTATTTTTTTAGGAAGAGGAAGAACGAAAGCGCATGGAAGCTCTGAAACGAAAGGAAGAAAACCGAAAACTTGCTGAAGC